AGCTAATCATCAGCACCACACGAAGAACCGATCCCGCCTACTCTCGCAGGATGCCAATGGGCGAAGCCAAGGAGGTTTCCGAGGGCTATCTACCGCCTGCCAATCATCTAAACAGCACCCGGTTCACTCCGCTGCTAGCCAATCACGTAGACGGCTCTGATCACCCGCCTCTGCGCATCCCTCGCTGGCTCGCCCTCCCTCTCTCTCCGGGAGGTGTCGTTTGCTCCAATCACAGCTCGTGCGTGAGGCTCCGCCCACATCCCCTCCTCGCGTCAGTCGCCCGAGGCTCCCGGGCGCGCGGGCTGGCGCGGTTCCCTGTCGGCTACTTTCGGGCTGGAGTTTGGGAAAGCTGCTGGATGCGTCCCCAGGCCTTCCGCCTTCCTCGCTCAGCGTTCCGGAGCCTCGTGCCCAGCCCCTTCTCCTTGTGCCCACACCGGGTGCGTAATAAGCGGGGAGGGTTCTGGCTCTAAGCTCTTCCCGGCGTGTGGCCACTTCTTCCACGCGATCCCCTGACAAGTCCTCCAGTGCAGACACTACGCTTGCCTGGAGGCAGGGGCGGCCTCACACTGCCTGCCTTCTCTTGGCTCTCAGACCTCCGGGGCTGCACCCTCCGAGGAATGGGGTAGTGCTAGAATGCGGGTCCTAGGAAATCTGGGAGCTCCGCAGCTGGCCAGGGCTGAGACCAGTAAGTGGCAAAGCCAAATGGTTCTTGGGAGGGGAGGGGGAGGGAGGAGTGGTAGAAGGGATACAAACTTTTCTGGTTATAAAAGCAATACAAGCTCTTTGTATTAATATTGGAAAAAGAAATCCCACCTCAGAGATCATTGTATCTTTCCCACCTAAATATACAACATTTGACAAAAATGGCTTCAGGTTGTTTTGTGGTGTGCTTACATTATAAGTGTTTTCCCCGTGCCACTGAATATTGTTCCAAAACACTTGTACGGGCTGCATATTTCAAAATAGAGATTGACCATAATTAATTTCCCCAGCCCCCCATTGTTCCACATTTTGTACACCCAGATGTTCACCACGGTTGCCTAGGGCTCCCTTCCTCTGGCCCCTGTTAAGTGTCATGTAAATGAGATGCCAGAGCTCTCTTCCTCAGATGTGACTTCCAGCTGTTAACGAAGAACCTTTAGTGGTGGCTTTAAGAATTACCTTACACTCCTCTTTATTTATACCTCCACCCAAATATTTATCTGGCCTTTTGTCCTGTTAAGTTTATTTTTTTTCTTGAACAAGCTTTAAGTCTATCATTTTCCCTGTTGATTAGATCCCTATCCAGTTTATTGTAGTTCCTTAACCATAATAACCTTTTTTTTTTTCTGGGAAGGGGAGCTCGAGTATAGGGAAAAGAAAATTAATATTATCAGTCATTTACTATAGGCCAGGAATGTCCTCTCATTTCATCTTCCTAATAATTGTTTTTTAATTTTTAATTTTTTTATTTCAGAGAGGAAGGGAGAGGGAGAGAGAGAGATAGAAACATCAATGATGGGAGAGAATCATTGATTGGCTGCCTCCTGCATGCTCCACACTGGGGACTGAGCCTGCAACCCAGGCATGTGCCCTGACCGGGAATTGAGAACTGAACTGTGACCTCCTGGTTCATAGGTCAGCGCTCAACCACTGAACCACACCGGCTGGGCCCTAACCATTCTGAGGTCAATAATACTATTCGCATTTAAATGATGAAAATAAAACTCAGAGAACTTAAGTACCATGTACAGATGGTAGAGTTTAGATTCATAACAGGACTATCTGATCCCCAAAGGCTATGTTTTTGCACTAGGCCAGTGTTTTTCAACCATTTTTAAAAAATTATTATTATTATCACCCTCCAAGTTAATTAAATTCTTCCTGACGAGAGAAATTAAATATTAAGGAATAAGGTTTTGTTAGGTAGGGTTGAGCTTTGAAGGCCACACACCATTGTATTATCTAAGATTTTTTTCACCCGTTAAGAATCTCTTTTCACCCAGAATAAAACCCAAACTCTGTCACCCCTTTGGGGATATCACTCTGTTGAGAGTGAAATAGGCTTATGCTGGAGGTCCTAATCTGCCAGTTTGAGGCTCAGATCTGACCCTTTATTTTATTCACCTGAGATAAATGTTTTTTAAAAGACACATTTATGCCAGTAGAAATCTAGCTCCCATTTCATGGTCTGTATCCAAGGGTCTATTCAGCAGCTTCTCTTGGAATACCAGAGCACCTAGTACATTCTTCATCAAAGCACTTATCCTACTCTAAAACACATCTCCAGTTTAACGCTTTACACTGAACTCTGGATTCTTTTCCCCATACCACCAAATCCCCCAGGAGGTAACTCCTCTGTTACCCAATTCTTAAAATCTTCCTTGATTTTACTCTTTCTCTAACACCCCTATATTCAATCATTCAACAAATCTTTCTGCTCTTATTTTAAAATGTATCTGTTCTTGCTTCAAACTGTATCTGGACTCAACCACATCTTACCACTACCAGCCCCGTCCAAACCACCGTCCTCTCTCTTGGAGCACTGCCTTGGCCTCCTAACTGGTCCCCCTATTTCCTCTATGGTCACCCAACAAATGATTCTCCACATAGCAGCCAGATTGTTATAAAATGTAAGTCAGGTCATGTCACACCCCTGCTGTCAACCCTCAATGGCTTTCTATCACACAATAAAAACCAAACGCTGCTCTAGCTGGTTTTGCTCAGTGGATAGAGCGTTGACCCATGGATTGAAGGGTCCCGGATGCAATTCCGGTCAAGGGCACATACCTCGGTGCAGGCTCCATCCCTAGCCCTGGTCAGTGGATGTTCGGGGGGCAACCAATTGGTGTGTCTCTCTCACATCAATGTTTCTCTCTCTGTCTTTGCCCTCCCTTCCACTCTCTCTAAAAATCAATGGAAAACTATCCTCGGGTTTGGATTAACAAAAATAAATTAATTAACTAATTTTAAAAAACCACAAACTCTGTCATGGCCTTCCAGGTCCAACAGGAGTTGGCCCCCATCATCCTCCTACCTCATCTCTACCACTCTCCCTTGATCATTGCCCTCTAGCCACAATGGCCTTCTCACCAGAGTTTGAACCTACCAGGCTCAGGCCCTTTCACCTCAGGTCCTTGCCATTTGGTCTGCCTGATACACTCTTCCCCAGGATGTCCCATGGCTAATTCCTGCTTTTCATTCAGGTCGCTGCTCAAATGTCAACTCTTAACGAATTCCTAACCACCTCATCCAAAATAGCCTCTCTCCCCTCCATCATCCTGGAGCTTCATATTGTGTTATTTTTGTTCATAGTGCCCGAATTATGTATTTACTTACCTGTCTTTCCTCCAACTACGATGAACATAAGCTATGTAGGATCAGGGATTTTGTTCTGCTCATTGCTCTATCACCAGCAGTTAGAATAGAGCCTCTTATGTAGTGGAGAACAGCATACAACTACTTAATACGTCTCTAGCTGAAAAGAACCTTCTGACTTATACCTTTCTAGAAATTACTTTCTTTGAGGGCTTTGTTTCCATCGTCTGTCCCTTAACCAGCCATTTCAACCATTTCCACGCTGCAGTCACCACACTGGACTTTCTTCTGAGCTCCAGAGCCATCACCCCTTGAGTATCCCACAGGCACCTCAAGTTCTCCAGGCCCAAATGAAATTCATTATTTTCCTCCCTAGTTTCCTCCCCATTTCTTCTGTCCATCTTCAGTTCCCCAAGTTGGATGCCTTTGAGTTATCTACCTTGGAGAGCTCTTCCTCTCTATTCCCTTCCCCCAAAGCTACCTAATCTTGACTATGTCCCCAGTCGGTCTATTCCTCTCTCATCCCCAGCAGCACCACTCTAGTTCAAACCACTAAAATCACTTACTTGGATTATTTAGTGTGCTCACATTAAAGGGTGATCTTTTTAAAACAGACACCTGATCTGACATGTTCTGCTTAAAAACTAGTTTCCCATTGCCAGTAGGTTAAATTGAATATGTGAATATAGCTAAAGAGGCCCTTTAGGACCCAGGCCATTCCTTCTCTAGCCACAGGTTTTCCCATTTCCCACCTCCACCAACCCCATCGTTGATATTCTACTTCTCACCACAGAACCACTGGCAGTTCCTCAAGTGTGACTCTTGCCTCTAAACCATGTGCTATTTTCTGTTTCGAATACTCTTCTCCACTCTCCCTTAACATACACGGTGAGGCAGAAGTAGATTTATAGTTATTCATATGGAAAAATAATACAATTAATAAATAATAAAAGAGCCCTAGCTGGTTTGGCTCAGTGGATAGAGCGTTGGCCTGCAGACTGGAGGGTCCCGGGTTTGATTCCAGTCAAGGGCACATGCTCAGGTTGCGGGCTCAATCCCCAATAGGGGCCGTGAAGGAGGCAGCTAATTGATGATTCTCTCTCATCATTGATGTTTCTATCTCTATCTCCCTCTCCCTTCCTCTCTGAAATCAATAAAAATATATTTAAAAATAAATAAATGAAAGAATAAATTGTTTTTCATATACTCACAACTGTAAACCTACTTTTGCTCCACCATGTATGTTAACTTAATTCTCAAAACAACTCTATGAAATAGGTACTATTATCCCCATTTTACAGTTGAAGAACTAGCTGCAGAAAGGTTAAGTTCTCATCCAAGGTTTCTAGCAACTGACAGAATTTGTTCCCCAGATTAGTTCCAATGAGTAGAATAATATAGATAAATGGTAGTTATATTGCAGGCAATGGGATTAGATGGGACTTCTATTGTTATATATTACAATAAGGGTTGGCTTCTTAAAAAACAGTAAATGTTACCTTTCTGGCAGTGACAACTGAAAGAGAAAAAAAGGAAAGAGAAAAAATTGCTATCCCATTCACTGTCTGGACAGAATAGAGAAAGTGATTTGTCAAGACCAGTGTGGTATCTCTCATAACACTGTTTTGTCAAAACTACTGATTCATTTCTCTTTATAGAATGTCTCCAGAGCAGTCTCCAAGGATTCAAATAAAAGTCTAAAGTTGGGATCTCTCAGAGTTTGATGTTTTATTGACTGCTATGCTATGTTTCAGAGACAGAAAAGAAAGTAACTCAACCACATGGCTGAATTGTCATAGTGGGCTGGAGGCAGAGCCTTCACTGTTCCTGTTCCATTCAGCCAGGGCCTCTGGCAGAGGGTGGGGGCAGTTACATATCACATGAACGCTTCTTTTAAGAGTCAAAGCAATGGATAGAGCCTATCACAGATACCTCCAACCCACTGAAAGGACGTCTGAAAATGAACCCAAGCCAGCTCTAAGGTGCTAAATAATTTTATGTTGCTAAGGCAGTGACCAAAGATAAGGCAAGGGCAGGCCAGGACCAGAGCCCATTCTTTTGACTTTAAGGTATGCCTGACTCCCATCCCCTCACATGCTGTCCTCCTAGTTGGACAATATTGTGACTAGTTTTCTTCTTTTTTTTAAATGTTTCCCCTGATGAAAGTAATACATGATTATAGAAAATAAAACTCAGTTATAACATTACCATCCAGAGATAACCAGTTTTGACATTTTGGTACAATTCCTTTTAGTCTTTTTAAAAAAGACATTTTTATGGTTTGAGACATATTTTAAATTTGGGCCATACAATATAGTTTTGCATCTTTGTTTTCCATTTAACATTATATTGTAAATATTTACTCTGACATATTCTTTGAGGAATAATAGCTAGTGGCAGAATAACCCATACAATCTTTAACTATTCAGTTAAATAGTTATTTAACTACCCTATATAGGTAAGGGTCTTTTCACCAGATCTAGAGGCAGAACAAGTTCAAGTAAGGTTTCATTTCTGCCTTTTCCATATTAACTGCAGGAAAGGCTAAGGCACCACCAGGGGTCAGTGCAGAGCCATCTAGTATGCCTTGATGTAAGAAAATAGGTTAAAGAATCCCTATTAACAAATCCTATCTATTAAAGCACTATTCCACATAAGTAGCAAATTCTCTTCCTTAATTCAGAAATGATCACATTCCTCCAAGTTTATACTCAACATTTACAAAACAGCTATTTTGTAAACTAAGGTCTATTAATACAAGATGTAGTATTAGACCTCTTCTTACCTGCTTGGTATGAGGTCATTTGAACATAAAATACTTGGCCTAACTATTTCCTAGGTTTGTTGTGAATATCAAATAAATAAAATGTATTATAATTTATGAAGTAGCACTTAAACTTTTAAGTTGCCCTATTTTAATGATGTGCTATTCAGATATTTAGATAAGTTATCTTTTAAAAACTAAAGAATCCCAGGTAGTATGATGATAATGAAAGGAGGTATAAGAGCATATACTTTGGCATGATCATGGATTATTTCATTGGTTTTCCTTTCCCAAGCCTTCACTCTTCAGATGCTTAAGTCATCAAAGAATTAGTAATCTGTTTTTCCTAGAAGCTGAAGTTATCATCTATAACTAATTTCGTTTTAGTTCTTTTCCATTCTCATTTACCTGAGACTTCTTCATGAAAATTGCTCTGAGCTCAGACTGGCTTAAACAATTATAAGTAGCTGAATAGCAGGGATCAAAAAGCCAGTCCAGGCCTGACATGCTGATGGGCTCCAGAACAGGTGGTTGACACTCCTGGCCTCTCTAAACCCAGAAGTGACTATTAGAAGCAAAAAGCACCAAGGGCCCTATTTCCCACCTGGCCAGGCTTTTGATTCAGCCTTCTGTTCTCATTTCCTCTCCTGTTCCCAGTACCTCACCATCTGGCATTAGGGATGAAGAGGAGCTAGGGTTGGGCATTCTGGGGACCAAGCAGCTTTCTAAACCAGCTTGGTATGGCCTTTTCTGAGAGTAACCTAATCTGCTGACTGGTCCACTCTAACAATCTCAGAGCCCACAGGGGCCCGGGCAAAGCAGGAGTCTCTTATCATTGGCACTTGATTTCCTATTGAGCCAGAGCCTTCAGCTCCCTGGCACACAAAGAGAATAAGAATGCATGTGCAGCAGCTTGCACTGGCCTAGGACAGCTCCCCCTGAGGTCCTATGTCTTAGAGTAGGATCTAACACAGGGTACCAATTGAACAGCTAGTGCTCTTCATAAGTATAGTTCCTGGTACATAGTAGGTGTTTGATAAACATCAGTTGCATGAATGAATGACAGGTTTAGGCCATTAGACCAGCATTAGAACATAGAGTGTCTGGAGAGAGTTACATTCCTATAGTCAATAAAAAAAAAAAACACACCACAAAACAAAACAAACATAAACAACAGTCCTGGGATTGGAGTAGTGGAACTAGGCTTATAGACTTGAAAGGTAGTCAGGAGGGTCCTAACAGCTGGACACAAACCCAGGAAAACTCAAGAGCCATACACAACAATGCAGCAACACAGATCCATCACTCTTACTTAAGAGTATCTGGGCCCTCACAGCACCTACCATCCCCAGAAGGGCCAACTTCCTGAGATCACAGTCTGACCAGATGACTAGCCCCACTCTGCATCCAGGAGGGAATGGGGAGACTCATCCAGGATGGCTCTGAGACACCAGCGGAGCTGACAAAGAGGCCCCAGAGAAGTATGGGGTTCCTGTGCCCACAAAGCTGTAGATCTTATGCCTTTGAACCTGCTAGGCTGCAGACCTACTTCAGTCTAGAGGACACTGTAGAAGCCTGTGCTCCAGAACAAGCTGCCAGTTGCCTAGGAAGGAGCTGGAGGGCACATACAGTCTGGTTACTCAATGTTGTCATAGACCTGGATCACGTCCTCATGGTTGCCAAGAGCCTGGATGAGGTGGGCGGCCTGTTCCAGGTCCGGGTCAGTCAGCCGCACCTTTGTGTTGGGGATGAATTCTTGTGCACAGGACACAGGACACAAGCCCAGGGAGTCCAGCTTCTTCCTCACTTGATGCAGTGAAGAGGCATCACAAATAAACTAGGGACAAAGCAAAGTCAAGAGATGAGGAGCCAGGAGATAACAGGACAAAGCTAGACAGAATGTCACAAAACCTGAATGGAACTACTATAATAGATCTCTCGGCTTAAGCTCTTCACTGGCAGAGATGTCATTTTCAATTGTTCTGAATCCTTCTCACAGTCCTGGGTAGAGTAAGTCCTACCCAGTATTCACATAATAAATGTGCAATGTGTGAAGTCTTTTATCTCACCTGTACCCCAGGGGCAGGAAAGAAGAAACTGAGCGAGGCATGCCTTAATGCATCTCCTAGGGTCCTCTTGGAAGTCCACCAAACACTAAGGCTTCATACTTACTTTAAAAATATTTTGTTCCTCTTCGTCTTCAGTTTCATTAACATCCTCAGCTCCTGCTTCAATCGCCAGCTCCAGGGCACGCTCTAGGTTCACTTCTTTCTTCTCTTTGTCCTTCACTCCAATCACGATCACCCCCTTTTTGTCAAAGGAGTGGCGAGCTCCTTCAGCCATCATTCCCCTGATAAAGAAAATGGGCCAGAACAAATGCCTTTAGACGCTCAGCTTCCACACAGCACTGCATGTCTCTCGCCCACCTCGCCTCTGGAGCATATACAGACATGGAGCAGCTCTCTTCCTAAAGAAGATGCAGCCACCACTGGGCAAGGGAATAATCCAAATATATCCCCACCCTCTCTTTTCTGCCCTGTCTTAAGTTTAGAGGATGCAAAGACTTTGCTCATCAGTTCCTATGCCATTTAGATTCCATTCCTGATGGTACATTTTAAGATGTGGACATTATAAGGCTATAGATGAGATGGGATAACGAGCTCCTTCTACAGTTAGGAACAAGTCTTTTGGATCCTACCTAGTACAGAACACATTAAGGGAGACTAAATTAGCCCATTTAGATTCTGCTGAGGATGAAGAATGTATAAAATCTGAACCAGTACCAGAGAGGACAGTACTTTCCTTGCACAGAATTAGAACCTAAAGGCTCCTTCACTTTCCCCACACACCTACCCATTCTTGTTCAGGATATGTTTGATGTCCGAATGGCACTTGGGGCCACTGTTAGATAATGCCTCAATGAGCAGACAAGAGCCACCAGGGCCTCGACCCTCATACAACAAATAAATGTCCTTGGTTTTCTGCAAAAAAACAACAAGCACATTTTCCTGTTTCTCAATTCCCTCCCCAGAACCACAGGCACCACCCGTACAGTTGACTCCATAAATGGGCTCTTTGGGCTTGAGCCTAAGCTCTCAAGTGTTTATTTTTGTGTGTGTCCCCCACCCCCCGCCCAAGAGGAGGCCTATGGGACCAACATTTAAGGTAATTAGAAGTACTACCTCTTACCTGGAAAGGGGTCTGTTTCTCTGGTCCCTGAACAATCAAGTAGCCATGTCCCAGCTTTGATTCCTCTTCTCCCCAGCAGAATTTCACACCTACCCACCCTTGTAACTCTAACCAAAACTCAACCTCCTTCACCCAATCCCTTATGAGATCCACCTGTGCTCCCACCCCTGGGCTGCTGAGCACCGCTACACAAAGTTGCATACCTGTGCCTTTTCACAAGAGCCACTGAAAATAGCATGGCCTCCAAATTTCAAACAATTGATCAAAAACTATAATGACCCATCTCATCTGGATCTCCCATGCCACTTTGCCCATGCATCCAATCCTTGCCACTTTCTTCAAGCACCCTGCCTGATGCCTTCCCAGGAACTCTCAACTGATAACTTCTCCCTTCCTCTTGCACAAAGGAAATAAACCACCACCAGGTAGGGAAAAAAAATCCCCTGACTCTACCACCTTATCTACACCAGGCCAACATGAAGGCAAGATTTGTGATAGAGCAAGGTTCTGGAGTCTATCTGTTTTCAGTTCTGTCAATTCTGTGTGACTTGGTCAAGTCACCTAACCTTTCTGTGTCTCAGTCTCCACTTAAGGTTGTTCTGAGGACTCAGTGAAATAATGCATTCCATTTTCTTATCAAAGTGCCTGGCCTGCAGTAAACACTCAGCTATTAGCTATTAAGATGATTATTACTTCTTCAGATCCTTCCCACTTGTCCAGAGGAAGAGGTCCTCTCACCTGGGCTTTCTCACTGTCATCTGAACTCTCCCTCTTTCTACTGGCTTTTCTCCTTTTGCGTAAATATCAGAAAAACAAATCCTTCCTCCGTCTAACATCAGAACTTTCCCCACACTGTGCTCACTCTTTCTACCCCATCTCCTCACAACTCAGCTGAGCAGTCCTAGGTTCTATGACTCTGTACACTGTCTATCCATCCTATTCCTGATTGTGCTCCCATAACCAATGGCCAAGGAGAGACACCAAAAGGCTCTGGATTGAAGGTGTCAACTACAGTGCTACCCTTCTCTCTGATAATTTAAGGAGCGGCTGGTGGCCTTTCAGACATGGATCCTGTAAAGGCTCTGATCAATAACAAGAATGTCAAATCGAGGACACACCTCCGTTTTCAGCGCTGCCTCAATCGTTGACTTGGGCATGTGCTTGTTGCGACACACCTCTAAGATGTGGGCCAGGTTGCTGTTGAGCTCAGGGTTGGGGCCTCCTTCTGAGATAGAAAAGAATGAGTAAAGTCATCTCATCTAATTATTTCCAGACCTATACTCCATCATTACCCAGAAGAGTGGCAAGTCACCACTTTGTTCTCGGTTAGTTTAGAATACTTTATCCAGTGTTTGTATGGAATATGGAGGAGAAATATTTTAGAAAAGTTTTTAATTTACTCTGTCTTTAGGAAAATGAAGGGCCGAGGATGGGGATAGGATAGGCCCTGGCCCAGCTCCCGGACAAACTAGGCAAATGAGGCCTTCGGCACGGAGAGGGCAGTAGGGCCAGCCGTGGGTGACGGTCAGGTTCTCACCTTTAACCGCTAGGCGGATGCTCAAAGTAAGCTTGGAGAAGATGCGACTCCTTTCAGTGTCCTTGGGACCCTTGATATGTCGGACTTTGGACCACTTGTTGTGCCCAGCGCGGGCTGCGGTGGTGAGGTGCAGCGTCCGGCCCCGAGCGGGGCCACAGCCCGGGGGATGGGGCTGAGAGCCTGCGGAGACGCACGGAAGAGCCGCCTGGGCTCCAGGGCCTAGAGCCCGCAAGCATGGTGCAGCGGTCCTGCTCAGATAGACAGTGGCCCAAGCCGCCATTGGCTCCGACCCTGGGCCAAGGTCAGCAAGAACAGAGAAAGGGCAGCGGCCAAAGTCATCAGCCAGTCCGGTCGCCGCCGGATCAAGCAGGTCAGGAGCCTGCGGTCGCCTTCACCTGCCACCGGTGACTCAAGGGCTTAGGCCCGCCGGGAGCAGCCGGAACAACACGGACCCCGCGCCGCGCCCGCAGCAGCGGGAGTGGGTCATCTGGCTGGTGTAACACACTTCCTTTTTCCGGTCCGTTCTAAAAACGCGTCCCCACCGCTCTCAAAATCCGTTCCGCAACTGCACGCACTCCACCTCGGCTGCCCTGGGGAGCGCAATTTCCCACAATGATCTAGTAGAGATACGTCTGAGTTAAACTAATTTTGCTTCTGAATTGCTTGCCAACTCTGAGCAGGTCCAGAAGGATAAATATTTTGTTGTTGCAAAGAAATGTGTACTTCAACAACCGCATTACAGGAAAATAAATCGCCGCCCAGAGTTGTGATTTACCTAGTTAATCATTTGGTCTCTCTGAACTTCCTTCTTGGTATTTGTAAATAAGGATGCTACTAGTACTTGCTTTACATAAGGTTAAAAACACAAAATAAGCTCTTGCAGCTTTAAAAGAACAGTCTTATGTAAATAGCAGAGCGATCATAGTGTTGAAGCCCCTAAATGCAAGAGAGGGCCTGCGATTCAGATGAGACTGGCCATTATGAAGAGGGAGGATGATCAAAAACGCTTTCTGGAGCTAAAGTCCCCTCTCCATTTTCCCTTCTGCTCTCCCAAAAGAGAAAACGGAGGCCATTAGAAGGAGAAGACAGAGAAGAAATAAAGTGGCAATTGCTAAAAAACTTTCTTATGGCTTTTCATACTGATGAAATGAAATTCAAAGGAGTTGGTCTGTTAAGGAGCAGGACAAGTGTGAAGATGGATTAGGACAGTGTGAAGTTTAAGCAAGTTACTTAATTTTCCTAGATTTCCGTTTCCTTGCAAGGATTAAATGAGATAATGGATGGAAAGTACATGGGCATGGATTTTATGTTATTATTACATAAGTACCTCCATAATCTCAGATCTACTCTTTTTTTCTTTAAGTACAATTTTCATTACCCCCCCCCCCCCAGAACTTTTCTTCACTCCTTAAGGACTTAGTTCCTTACATGGGCTTTGGTGGAGGTTGTGGGGCAGCACCCGCAGGTCTAAATTGGGGTGCAGGTGTTCGGTCCTTCTGGGCTTCCTGAGAACAATTCTTGACTACCTTGCTGTGAATGGCACAGCTCACACAGTGATGTAGTTTCACATACAGCTTGGGAAGCACATAGGCATCGAAGACACTTGCTTCAGAGATGTCCCAAACGGCGGGGGCCTCAACTATGTTTCAAATGACAAACTTCTTAATGGACTTGTCCTTGGGCATGCATCCGGTGCAGTTGGTGCAACGAATAGGCTGCACATGGCCTCGGCCTTTTTTGGAACAACTGTCATTCCTTCTTCTCTTGGTCATCTTGGAAATGAGGACCCAAGAGCTCAGATCTACTCTTTTTGTTGTTGTTCTCATGTCCTGACATTGTACTCTGGTTGGAGGGAATTACTGTACTCTGAATATGAGTTCTTTATCATCTCTTTGCTTCTCTCTGTCTCGCTAAGATCTTTGACTCAAGACCCAGTTCAGCTGTCACCTCCTCAGTAAAAGAGTCCACCTTTGAATTTTAAGCTATAACTCACAGTTCACTTATGCATTGTTCTTTTCTTACTGTTTGTTATCCAAGCTACTTGGGCTCAGCACTCTCCTCCTTGTATCTGCAGATTAGAAATACGAGATTGCTGGGTGGAAGTGGAACAGGCTGTATGGGGGATAAATGGTGATGGGAAAAAAAATAAAATAAAAATTGTTGCTTTAAAAGAAAGGAAAAAAGGCCAGATTTCTCCTAGTACTTCTCCCAATTCCTATATTAAGCACAAACTTGTGTCTTTGCTAGTCTGTGTCCTACCTCACTTCACCTTGATAATTTGTTTTTCCTTCAAGATTCAGCTCAGGCATTATTTCCCACCAAAGGAAAACATCTCCAAATTCTTTAGTTGGGCTCAGATGCCCTACTCTGTGTGCTCACATAATCTTTCATGCATGTCTCAAAATGTTTATGTCCGTCTCTGCTATGATATTAAATTATTTGAGAGCAGGACTGTATTCCTTTGCCTAGAATACTTCTTGTTTTTAAATAACAACTTTAACATATAATCACAAAGTAACCAATTTAAAGTGTACAAGTTTTGAGTATATTCACAGATTCTTTCCACCATCACCACAATTTTACATTTTAATCACTTTCCAAAGAAATCCTTTACCCATTTCCCCCAGTTACCCAAATCCTAAGCAATCACCATTTTATTTCTGTCTCTATGGGTTTGCCTATTCTAGACATTTTATATGAATGGAATCTCAAAATATACAGTCCTTTATGACTAGCTTCTTTCACTTAGCTTGTTTTCGGGGTTCATTCATGTTGTAGCATGTATCAGTACTCATTCCTTTTTATTACCAAGTAATATTCCATTGTATGAATAGAGCACATTTTATTTATCTATTCATCGGTTGATGGACATTTGTGTTATTTCTACCTTTTGACTATCCTGAAAAATGGTTTTATGAGCATTCATGGCCCTGGCCGGTGTGACCAGAAAGGTTATCAGTTTGATTCCAGTCAGGGCACATGCCTAGATTGTGAGCTCGATCCCAGGTGGGTGGCATGCAGGAGGCAACTGGTTTCTCTCTCACATTAATGTTTCTCTCTCTCTCCTTTCCTTTCTCTCTAAAATCAACAACAACAAAAAACTTATTAGGAGAACTAATAAAACAAAAACCTCTCCAATCTTCATTAAAGAGATAAAAAATAAAAACTCTTGTGGCATACCAGTTGAAAATTGCTGGTGTAAGCAAACCCCCCAATTTTTGTTGTGTTCAGTCTGATTTTTAACTGCAGTATAGCCCAGTTTGAGATGAATAGTTTACCAGCTTTTCCCTTAAAAACGAAAGAGTAAGAATCATGTATTTTCCATAAAATAGAGTCAGGAAAAAACAACAACACACAGTCAGACCACATAGCAGTTTTAACAGCCAGTAGATGCTCATTTTGCCACATAAAACAAACTCTCAGAGTATATACTTCCCTTCAGAGACCCATTGCCACTCCCAGCTTCATTCTTCTGACAGAATGGCAGGCACTTAGTAAATTCTGGCTCACTGAACGAATCACAATTTTGCTTTTCTTTCTTCCCTTGAAATGGCCCAACATGAATAAAGAATGACAATAAAAATAAGTGGGAGGGGTATTCACCTAGGACTGCCTGCATTTGGATATCAGTGGGGACAGGAACTCCTTATCCATCCTACCATGTTGGGAAAGTGGCTTGGACTTGGAAACTCTACTTATCACATTAGAGCCTAGTGTCCAAACCCACAGGATTTGAGTTACCATTTCTTTATCACCCTTCCAATAGATTACTGAATCCTGATTATCCTGGCTCTTAAATCTGTTCAATTGTGGCCTATTCTCCTTTCCTGCTTCTCCTTAGTTCAGGCTTTTTTTTTTTTCCTTCTCTCACTTTGACGATTATAACAGGTGAACTGACTCCCTGTCTCACCCCCCACTCAAAGGTAATTTCTTCATTGCTCCCTAAAATGCAATTCTGAGCATGACTTGCCTCTATGTACAATTTCCAGTCTCATACAGGAGTAAGGTCTAATCTTTCTGCAAAGCACAAAAGATTCTGATCTGGCTCCTACTTACCTCTCTAGCCACATTTTCCACCAGTTCCCGTATAAAACCCCACATCAACTTGTACTTCTCTAAATATGATCACACCTTTTCTTGCGTTTATAGATTGGTACCTGAATGTTGCCTCTGCCTTAAATGCCTTTCCCTATTCCTAGAGAATTCCAACTCAGCCTTCAAAGCCCAGTTCAAGTATGTCTTATGAGATTTCCCCTTACCATCTCTGGCTCCCACCCAGTCAAAGATGATTACTAACTCCTCAGGGCTACAAGTAAGCCTGAACACACCTATTATTGCACAACACTGACAGTACTTGTTTATGTGGCCTTTCCTCTGGTAGACTGTGAGCAACTTGTGGGTCACGGTCCCTGGCATAGAGGAGGCGCTCTGTGTTTTGTTAAAGGTGATGTTAGGCTGTCAGATAGTGATGAGCAGGGGTGGAGTCTAATCCCCCAGCCAGTGTCTCTGGAACATGACCATGGTAGCAGAATGGGAAGAACTAAATTCACCACAAGAAATTATTCAGTCAACCTATACATGTTCAAGTTTTATTACAAAGTATGATGGGCAGAAAATACGGTCTTATACAGGAGGCTGAAACAGAATGAAAGGGCAAAAATTAGGTTTAATATACTCAGGAAGCAAGAAATAAAGTCATAGACATAACACTCCACTTTTAGGTGCTTTTGAAATAGCCGTCAATGGGGATTTACCATTGTGGTTTCACAGCACAGTGTTAAAATTTTATTATAAGCCCTGTGTACAATCAGTCCTGTGAAAATAATTTCTTAAAAAGAAAAATAGTTACAGTACAGTTGTGTAAGGGGCAGCTTCCTCTCCACCTGACCATAGGATGCCACAAAATCCATAGTATAGAGGAAAAGTTTAAATATATAACAAGAAAGTAAGTTCAGACACACTAGGCTAGATTGGCTAGAGCGTAACATTTCAGAGAACAAGAAATCTCCATTTCTACAGAGAGGTTTGTACAATCATGCTACAAATTCACACTAGGGGGAGGAGGGATGGGGATGGAAAGTCACTGACAGGGGGATCATAAAATACACAGGAACCAAAGCAAATGATTCATACTCGACTCAAGCAAGTCAAAGCTTTAGCTCAACAAGTTTCATAACATACTGTACACAATCAACCCAAGGTGAGAACATTTCTTTTAAATAGCAGATAAACAAGTTCATCTTCACTCACTTGTCCCAAAGGTGGGCATTTAAAGTTTTCCAGCTGTTACACAGACTGCCAACATCTTTCTTCTTGAGTTCATACTTCTATTAGCTTATTTGTTTCTGGTTTTTAATACCAGTCCAAGCCTCTTTGGAAAGGCACCTGCATATCCCATATTTAAAAAATAACATCCGGAAAGTAGCCTGAGAGGACTTGGCCCATACATTTGCCTTTGACCATTAGCAGCAATGACAACTGTGGGAGAAGAAAAGGGTGCAGATGGGGTGGTGGGCAAGGCTCTGCAACATGAGACTTTCTCAGTAGCTAGTTCAGCTGGTACAGAAAAGACAATTCTTAGAGAGCTTGGCCCTGAGTTCACAGTGACTGCTCAGTTCAGCTTTCCTCCCAGGGAAAACTCAACTGAAGTGCCAAGCATGACGCTCCTTCCTCATCCTGGACCGTAAAGGGGAGTCTGCTTTGAGACTTCTACTTCGATGGTCTCCCTTACCCCAAGCCAGGCAGTTGAAGGAACTGCCAAATTCTCAAACTGGGGAAGGTGGAGAGATGGTACTGGGCTGGCACTGCCAAGTTTGGAAAACCTTGCAGCTTCTGCACAGCCTAGGAATTTAAGGCCCAGGCTGCAGCAGGGAGAAAGTTCTACAGTGGAAAGGGAGTGGGAAGAGAAGGATAAGAGAAAAGGGAGGCGTGGGGAAATTCAGCATGACTGTTTATGACCTCTGCTTCTTCAGCTCCCTACAAACCTACAACCAAGAAGAGCCATGGTCTCGAACAATCACGGGACTCCCAAGACCTGAGGATTTCTACCAGCAAACATCACATATCACTGCGCTGCTGCAGGGAGGGGCCCCACTGCTCTGAGCTGTCCTCCTGTCCCGTTAGCCAGTATCACAGGTACCCAATGAAGGGTCCCTGACACAGTCTCACTCCATGCCACACAGCATCTGAATACTTCCTCCCCTCGGGCCATCACTGCCCTCTAATACTTTCCCCTTTGATCTAAAGCAACACTTACCATTGATTTTCTCCCACATCCTAAACTGCCTCCTAAAATTTCAGCCACCACTATCATCAAACCTTGTAGAAGTCTCAATTTTTTCTGTTTCTTCCCGAATCTTAACCAGTTCTCTGAGAGCCAATCCTGGTTCTGATAAATTCTCACCTCATTATCAAATATCTCCCATCTTCAAGTTCTCATCTTGCAGCCCGATTCCTACAGGGAAGGAGAGGTTACAACTCTCTGGAGTGTAAACACTCAAGCTCTTGAAGTCTTGTACCCATTCACCAGCTCTCTGATGTGGAACCTGAGGCCTAATTTATTCAGCACTTCCTCCTCTCCCTTCAGAGGAGACAAGAAAAACAAAGGCAGCTTCAGCTCAGGGGCCGCGAACAAGTCAAAGGGTCACCAGAGTAAGAGCCCAGAAGGGTGTGTGGCCTTTCCGGTGAAGTCCTGGCAGCTGCTCTTCGCCCTTTCGAGGAGAGCAGATCTAGCTGTGCTCTCTGCTTGTCAATTTGAGAACCTAAACAAACTAAACAGACACTGGCTCTTGAAACTACAACAGATCTCTGCTTTCTGGAACATGGCTGGCTAAGAGGTTTTCTCAATCTTGAAACTACAGAAATCCCCTCCTCAACCATGAGGCCATTTGGCCTGTGGCATAAAGAGAGGGTGAGAACCAGGACTTTCAAATACCAGCATCCCAGCAACTGTGAGTGTGCGTTTGCTCAGGGAGTGTGGGAGTCTCACCTGGGCCCCAGGTGGGATGTCAGGACTGCACTGTGGGGCCTAAGGATAGTGATAGGGCTAGGAAGGAGTCCACAGGGCAAGGGGGGAAAATCAAAAGCTGTAGATTTCCAGAATAAATAGCAACTTTACCCAAATATATTCTAATTACTATTAACTAATTTTTTTCTCCAGGTTGTTTTTGAATTCTAGTTGTGCAAATCTCACCATTCAGACCAGGCTTAGGTGCAGATCAGGGAAGGGATCTTAAATCAGATTTCAGTACAGTTAAGCCCTGCCTAAGCAGGACCAGCTCCCTCTTCCATTCTGATCTCCATTTCAGACCCTTTTCCACAAGAAGGAACTGATGGCCTCCTAGAGCAAACAGCCATCAATTTAGACTTGCGACCCTTGCGAGAAGGGCCCTGGAGCCATCAAACATAACTACAAGCAGAGAAGGGTTCTGAGCAAGAACTGCTCACTTCACATCTCCAAATGACACGCTGCAAATCTGGTAAATGCAGGAGCGTAAACCTCAAGCAGCTGAGTAGCCAAAGAGCCCCCAAACCAGAAAAAAAAAAAAAGTAAAAAGGCAGAAAGGAAAATATTCTAACAAAAGAGCCTTTTACTTTGGGACAAGCCCCTGTGTAGTAAAGCAAAGAGCTTTGGGGATAAAAATACATCTGCTTCTGAAAAGGAAGACTCAACCAAAGGGTTCAAAGGGCTCAGAAAAACAAAGCTAACTGTCTTGTTTCTCAAGAGCAGGTGAGAGCCTAAGTGGACAAAACCATCAGCCTTGTGGTCTGGTTTGCTACTCTTGGATCTCAGAAACCTTCAGCCACTGGGCAGAGCAAGATGAACCAGGCAGACTCCCGCCCAGACTCTGAGCGTATCCCAAACTCAGCCTACTACCAGTGACATCCAAGACCCTCCATGGAACTCATTCACATAATGGAAACAGACCCCTGCAGCCTGCAAGTTCAAATACTGCTCCGACCTAAACCGAAGCTCCTAACTGGCTGACCCTGGGTCTCTGATTCTTTTTGGAACTATGTAACTGATGGCCTGAAATCACAATGGCCCCCCTTACAAGAGCTGACAGTGTCCCATACTCTAAAGGAGATCGTGTTCAGGGTTAGATGCACAGATTGTGTGCCTCTCAAGCCGGAGTCTCTCACCTCAGAGCTCTCAATCCAAAGAGTGGCTGATATACCACCAGTCACAGTTAACTAAACAAACAGAGATACCAAAGTTCAACTTATAGATCATTTTTGTCCATCATTCAAGACATGAAACAGAATGGCCTGGGGCTTTTATTTGGAGGGAAAAACAGACTCTGAAACTATGTACTGGAAATATGCTCTAGGCTCAGCTTTCCTGAAACTGTTCCCCTCAAGTCAGGTACCCCAATCAGCCTATTTCTGCTCTAGCACGTTCCCAACAGGTCCCAGTGGGGTTGGACAGAGGTACTTCGGCGAGTACAGAAGGCTTCACATGTGTGTTTTGGAGCCCAGAATGCCCTTGAGAAGAGCCAGACTGAAAAAAGGTGTGAGAGCTGGCCAGCTTCAGAGCACCAAGGCGGTTTGGGACTCCCAGTCAGGTCTGTTCTGCTCAGGCAGTGACGCAAGAAGGCAACTGCTCATGGGGTCAAGGGCCTCGTGCCAGGTTCGGGCACTGAGGGAGGAGAGGAAGGTGCTATCAGGGAGGACTATGAAACAAAGGAAAAAACCAGAGAGTAAAATTCTTTTCATAAAAAAATTAGCCTGGTAGATAAAAAATATACAAAGTTGGAATTTGTTACAGACATTGATAATAGGAGGAAAGACAACTTCAAATTGGTATTTGTTCCCACTTAAGTGCTAACACGGACATGGACAGAGATTGCTGCCTTGGGCAACAGACAGACAGAGACATCTGGGGCAGATGAATACAAACATAGCCAGTGCCCGTAATGCTCATTAACACAACGGCTGACAAACTAATATACAGAAATTTTTAATTGAGGAACTGAAGAAGAAGAAAGGAGAGAAAATCTTAAAACTCAGCCCTGGGCTGAGGAGGTGCCACACAGCCCTAAGTGTAGCACAGAGAGCAATGGGGTGACTGGCCAGGAACTCCTAGAGCAGCTTCTGGTAACAGTGGGTGCAAAGCAATGAAAGACACACTGGCCACTGGAAACATGTTTCTTCTTACTTTGGGGTGGGGCAGAGGCGGGAAACACGAAACCCCTGCCTCGTGAACATGGCGCCTCCAACACTACACTCTGAGTATCTCCAGGCAGTTGTTGTAGCAAATGGCGATCCAGTCGGGCTGAGTCGATGCCCACTGCACGTTGTTGATCTCTCCCTCAGCTGTGTAGGCCAGGATAGGGTCCTCGATGGCCCGGGGCATTTGCTGGATGTCCCAGATGAGAGCCTGATGGTCATCCGCTGGTGACAGAAAGGCAGAGAGCAAGGTTACAACTCAGGCAAAGAGGATAATTATCCCTACATTTGGCGGTGCTGGTGGTTAGTTTACAAAACATTTGCTCACCAGTGAGAAAGATTTTATTTTAAGCCCCCATTTTATAGATGAGGAAACGGAGATTTGGAAATTTAAAGGACTTGCCCAAAACCACAGAGCAACGTAGCCAGTGAGTGGCTGAGCCAGGACTCAAAGCTAGCCTCTGGCTGTCCCCAGCTGTGTTCACTGCATTGGAGGTAGGTGATAGAATGGGACCTGGTGGGCACCTCTCATCCCGTAACGCGAACCAGGAAAGGATGAAGGGGTGAGATAAGGATGGCAAGGTTTTGAGTTTTAACTTTTTTCTAGTTTCTAAGGGATCTGTAATGTCTATCATGTTACTTTTATAATCGAAATAGTAAGTTCTTAGTCTAAGAGAAGAAAAAGCAAGGACCTTCTATATCACAGTGTCTTCTAATCCCATCAGCCTATCCTGATGTCTTTTATACTCAGGGGAGCTGAATAAACTAAGCCCTAATTGGCCAGGCTCATGAGGGCAAACGGAGATGTGAAAACTACAGGTCACACACCAATGACCAGACCAGGCTACCAGGGCCCTTCAGTGCATCCAGTGCTCACTGTAGGTTCATTACATCTCCTAAGGGAGATGTCACTCTTGGCAGTCCCAAAGACTCTGTTACGTCTATGACAGACTGTCCCTCTCTTCCACATTCATGGATCTGAGTCCTATGTGTCAACCTAGATTTCAGGGGTGGACATATGAAAGACACAGCCTATAACTGATACATGACGAAAATAGTATATGGAAGATGCTCTGAGAATACAAGTGTATTTAGAAAATTGGACTGCTTCGCTTTCACAAGTGTAGAGCAGCTCCCAGTTGAGTTACTTTGGTAAATCTCTCAAACTATCCTCAGGAAATAGTAAGGATTACAATTCTAAGGAAACATGAAAGATCTCCTTACCTCTCCTCCCACATACTGCCCTCCCCCACCGCGTTTACCTGCAGTGCAAATGTGGCAGGATGAATGTGGGGCCCACGCAATGCCATTGACGCATGCTCGGTGGTTGTTTAACCTTGCGACAGGCGTGCACGGAACTCGGACATCCAGAATCACTACCTGCAGAAACAACAAGGAAAAGGCCCAGGGACTTCAGAGTGTGAGAGGAGAAAAAAAAAAGGCACTTCACAAAATAAAACAAAATTTTTTAATCATGATTTCCTCATTTGTGGATTTAAAGATTATTAGATACAGAGTGTCTCTGTCCCAAAAGCAGCTACTGGATTGAAGAAAAAGGAAAAAAGAAGACACAGGTAGTTTATAGTCTATATCTAAAGCAATACAGGGTCTTTAGACTGATATGGAAGGGGAGAAGCAGGAGTAGGTAACATGAATCTGGATAATGCACCAAGTCCGTTAGGTGCGTATGCTAAGATTCTGTGCATGCTCAGCGGGACAGAGTGACAGCACCCTCTGCCCCCAAAGCAGAATTCGAAATGTAAAGACTCTGAGGTGCTGGCTTCACCAAAACAAAGTTAATAATTGCATTGTCTCTACCCACAATTTACTGCCTGTATCAAGTAACAGGCTACAGAGAGTTGCCATTTCCATGTCTGTTTGCTAAAGCTGGAAGAATCTGTCCTGACTACAGAGGGGAAAACTGCTTCTTACTCAGCCTCATAAGCACGTATGATTTGGTTTACTTTTTAGATATTGCCTTTCTTGACACCAATCCCAACTCTTCAAGTATTGAAGTTTTTAACACACTGTGCTTATTCTGGATCAGGTTTTCCCAATCTCAGCACTCCTGACATTCTGGGTCAAATAACTCTTTATCCTGTGCATTATAGGAGATTTAGCAGCATCCCTGGCCTCTACCCACTAGATGCCAGTAGCACCCACCTCTTCCTTCCCCCCACACCCACAGTTGGGTTAATCGAAACTGTCTTCAGACATTTTCAAAAATCCACTGGGAGAAATCTGCCACCAGCTGAGAACCACTGTTCTAGATACACTTAGTGCCAGAGGTAGGCTGCAAGGCCCATGCCAGCCTGAAGCAGGGTGCTCACCTCCATCCCATCCATGGCCATCGTGGCCAGGTAGTTAGGGTCCTGCTTGTTCCAGCAGAGGCGAAGCAGTGGGTGATGCTGTGGGTCTTCATAAATGATGGTGCTGTGTTCTAGATGGCGGAGGTCAAACATCCGCACCGAGCCATCAGCACCCACAGAGGCAAACATGTCCCTACCACCGCCAGCCCGGCTAAATGCGATATCATAGACCTGTTGGTGAATAAGACACTTCAGCCAGATTCCGATCCATTACTTCCTTTTCCATAGCAGGAAATCTGCTATGCCTAGATCATCTAAACCCGTTTATAACACAGGAGGAGAGAAATAAAACCAAACAATGTCTGCAAAGTCTGGAACCTGAGAGCTCTAACATCAGTGACTTTCCAAAGAGTGAAGATCATTCTGTTATAGAAATTGGCTGGCTTCTTCCCACAGCCCTGCTTTCCAAGTCTTCTTCCTCCAACCCCTATGATAAACTGCTGACCAACAGAGCACACGTGATTCTGAGCAAGTATTCTGTATACTTAGACAGGCTCAGCTCAAGCCAGAGACAGTGGTGGTCTTCTATCATGAGACAAGATTGAGACATTGATTTCCTGAACCTTGATGGCTTCCATTTGTGTGGTGTCAGAGGCAGATCCATGACCACACTGAGGCCAAGATCATAGTTTAGAGAGGTGGAAGAAACCCTCCTGTGGCCACTTAGCCAAGTTGGTTCTGCTGTGAAACCTGGACCTGAGACTCATTCCCAAGAAAGAAGTAACAGCAGTTTTATACCATGAGAGGCATTCCTGTATCTGCAAAGTGAGTTATCACTCTCTTGTCCCAGGACAAGTTGTTTCTTCTCCTAGTTGGCCTGCATTCATAAATGGTTTAGGTTTTGAATCACTGTTTTCTGCATTTACTACTTGCTGTGAACACTGCACACCACTACTGTCTATGAGAAAACAGAGGTAGAGAGCAACAGAGAACTTCAGAGAAAAATAAAAAAGGACAGAGAGAGACAAGTCAGAGCCAGACAAGCAGAGAGAAGAGAGACACACTGAAAAAGAAAAACAAATGAAAGGAAAAACAAAACCCATCTCTGGGGTCAAGATTAACAACAGCTGACTTCTGGAGAGACATGATTGACTCTCACTAAGTACCATGACACCACCTTCTTGAGGTTCTGCCTGCCAAGGGACACTGTGAAACGAGCATCTAGTTCTAGTCAACCTCACAAATTCCTTTTTCTCTGACTATGAAGAAATTACACTTCTCTTTCTACAGTAGGAATGATTCGAAAGGAACTGGGCAGTCACAAGGAGGCCCTGTAGCTCCAGGCTCTGTCCTGCCTGAGGACAGGGGCATGCTTATCAATGTGAGCACCCCAGGGGGCCGGCTCTCAGTAACTGCCAAGAACAGGGACACCAGAGCAGCATCACTAAGCAACAAGGTGCCATGGGCAATGTGACCGAGTGTGTAAAGCTCTCTCAGCTTTAACTGTCTGCTTCTTCATGGGGCTCCACCAGTAATTTCATTCTAAACCACGGGAGATGACAAGCCTCCTCTACACCAACCTGCCAGGCAGCAACAGGAGCCCCCAAACAAGTCTTTACTTTGATAGTGAGAGGTGGACTGAGAAAAGCCATAGGTGCTAGGAGGTATCACTGTTTCTCTCAGAGCAACTATCGTCAGGTTCATTTCTTCAAGACCAGGGCCTGTTTGCCGGTCCTGGCCTTCCCCTCTGGTAGGGAGAGGCTAAGGAATTTCTCCTCCCCTCTCTCTGTCCCCTGAAGCATCTCTGGCAATGACTGTGTCCCCTCCATGGCTCTAGCTTTTGCCAGGTAAACTCAGCCCCTAGATTCCAGTAACCCTGCCTCTTCCCTTGGCCCTTCTGGCCTGTGGGCAGTGCCACTTCCTGCTGCTCCTATTCTCTAGATCAGCGGTCGCCAACCAGTGGTTCGTGAGATCCGAAAGGTTGGCGACAGCTGCTCTAGATTGCCTCACTGCTCCTATTCTCTAGATTGCCACGTCTGTGTAAGCAATCCCCTGGATTGAATCCCCTCCGTTTACATACTTAGAGTACTTCCGGTTTTCTGAACTAGACCCTGACAGAAAACAGCAGACTACATTGTCACATAACTAAAACGTAGCAACCTGTTCCACTTGATATCAACTGGGTTTCCAGAAGTTCCTTACTGGTCCTCTCTGCAGGACAAATTCCTTTGTCCCTTGGCTCAGCAGTAGGCCAGGCCAGCAGTCTTGTAACAGATCTTCCCCTTAGGAGCACAGAAAGCCAAACAACAACCCCTTACTAAGAGTGATAACCTGGTCACCAACCTCCTATTCTGTGGATAACCTCAAGTTTCTGACCTAAAGTCAAGGCATCCTTTTTATCTGTACAGGTATTAATATTCCTTGCTATGCAGGGAAAGGTAGAAGAGAAAGGGAAACACTGCCACAGGAAATCAGAGAACTAGGTGTATGCAGCAGCTCTGGGAGGAAAAGATTTAGGACCATTTTCCAAAATCACTCATAAGAATGCTTTGATTAAAATGCGGCCACAAAGAGTTCCCTGTGAGTTTTGCAATAAACACAGGAGAAACATCACCATCAAGATAAACCATATTCCATTCCAAACAGTTTTAAGTATTAAGTGAACATACTAGAATTTCATAAAACAAGTTTAGATAAAAATTGATTAACTAGGTTTCACAGCCAGGAAATTTCTCTCTTCCTGCCTCTCCCTCTCAAAAGCAAATATATTTCAAGATAAATGTTACTCTAAGATTCATTTTTAATCACATCAGGTCCGAGTTTGTCTACCAAGAGAGTTCATTGTTAAAAAACAGCAATCTTTGGCATGAAAAGAAAAATTACTATAGGACAAGTTGTTTGTATCAGTCAAAAAACGCATTCCTTTACAATAGTGTTTTCCACTCTTGATACGTTACTATTTTCAATTCAGACACAATGTTAGCATTATGATTTTCCACATCATTTGCAAAACAGTGAGCAGACAAAACAACCTGACCACACTGAAGGCACAGAAAGCAGAAGAGGGACAGCATCATTACCTCTTTATCATGGGCAATCAGTTGGGTCTTCACATGGCCAGACACAAGATTCACTCGCCCCAACACCTGCCCTGTCTCCAGCCCCCAGATGGTACAAGTTGTATCAATGCTGGAGGTACCTGGAAACAATCAGTGCACGTCAGTAGCTGACAGGAGTGAGGTTCCCAGGCAAGCTGCTCTCCTTGTGCCTACTCACCAGCTCAGCACAGGAGACCACATGCCATAAACACTTCCTAGTATAGGGAGGGTACCAGGAGAGTCCCAAAGAGTCAAGTGTTCAGTCCTTAACCTAGGCTCTTAGACTCTGACTGGAGACAAACCATACACCTATAAGAAGCTTGACTGCATATGAGGAATGAACCACATTCCGTATCTAGTCTCTTTCTCGCTTGGTCCCATTCTAGGATGATGCCTGTACCTCAAGCCCCTGGTTAAATCTGAGAAAACATACCTTTGCTTCTTCAAACTGTAATCCACACCCCCTCACTCCCTTACCTAAAAGATAAGGATCCACTTCATTCCAGTCAAAGGAGGTCAGAGGAGCACAGAAATCTGAGTTTTTGTTATTATTTAGCAAACATTCCAGTCTGGTCTCCGTCTCACCAACCTAAAAGAACAATGAAAAAAAAAAAAATTAGCCAGTCATTTTCCCAAAAAAACTTTTAATCCCCCTTTAGATAATATCTTAGTAAATATAAGACATGGGGGGAACATTTTTACCATAAAGAGTAATAAAACCCAGAGGAATTCCCTGAATGCTACGTCTCTACAAGCTTTTCCCCTTGCCTAGCTTTGTTTTCCAAATTTTTCTAGAGGAGAGGTCTTCTCACCTTGCCTGGCTGGGCACTCACTACACCTCCAGGCCAGGAGACGCCAATGCTGATTAGCTCAGCTGAGAAGGGAGATGACGCTCATCAACTCCCTAATCCACACGCATACTTGACTAGAATCAGTGGCCTGGTAGTCTGTTTAATTTACTTAAAAGTATCTTGACTGTAAACAGAATAAGAGGCCTCAAGTATCTCCACCCCCTCAGAGGTTCTATCAGGTTAGCTGAGGCTTGGATTTCCAGGGCTGGCTATGGCCAGCAGCAGGGACTTCCAGGAATCTTGGCTAGGTCTACTAGGAAATCTGCTGAGTCAAACCAGGTCATTTCAGATCCGCTAGCATTTGTTTCTCCCCCGTGGCAATGACACTCTGCTGCCTCCAACCCCAGCCTGTTCTCTGTGACTCCATGCTGCTGATAACAGCTGAAACAGCACCTGCTTACCCTCCACACACGGAGATAGTCACCACTTGTCGCCAGTAGGTCTGGATAAACGCCTTTTGTGTCAGGGATCCACATGAGCTTTGTGGTGGGGTATGGATGGTCAAAGGTGTTTCGGCAAATAAACTCCGAACTCTCTTCATCTAAACCAACAAGCTGAACCTGTAACACAACAAAATTGAGCCATGACAAAGACATCAGATTCCTGGGAAGTGACTGCAGAGTCAAGAACTATTACAGAGAGGACATCTAGTCCAACTATCCCATTTCTCAGATGAGGAAACCCAGACTTGAAGGGTTGGGTTACAGTCAACACTGCAAAGCTAGTAAGAGGCAGAGACAAAACTTGAAGACAGGTTTTCAGACTCCAAATCCTACACTTAAAAAAAAAAAGTTTTATATATATATATATATTTCAGAAAGGAAGGAAGAGATATAGAAACATCAATGATGAAAGAGAATCATTTATCAGCTGCCTCCTGCACGTCCCCTCCTGGGGATTGAGCCCGCAACCCGGGCATGTGCCCTGACTGGGAATCAAACCGTGACCTCCTGGTTCATAGGCTGATGCTTAACCACTGAGCTTCCGGCCGGGCCAAATCCTGCACTTTTGACCCACAGAACTGCGTTACCTGCCCAGCAGGTTACACCTTCCCCCACAACCCTGAGGTATCTGATAATGTGTGTGGTTCAGTTACTCCAGTCTTGAAGTGCTGTGTGTATTTAGACCCTGTGCAGTCCCAGTTCCACACAACAAAGTGACATCTCATGCACAAACTGCCCCTTCCCCCACCCTGGCTAGTAACAAGTTTCCACATAAAGGTGTGAAAAACAAGCATTCAAGAAGGTTTTATACCAACAGTTACTGTTTTGTTTTAAATCCATGAAAAGGAATTAGCAAGGAAAGTCAGAAAATCTTAGAGTAGATCAGTATGTTTTTCTCCTTATGTAATTCCTCCGAAATCTGGCAATGCTAAATAAGTACGTTTCTTTGCATAGATTCAGTAAGACTGGTTCCTAATAGTGGTTTTATTAACGGAAAACTTTGACTGGAGTATCATGTTTCGAAGAGCCCTATCTGAGCTCTAAAGACTTGAAGCCAGTAAAAATGCCACGAAGAAAGCCTGGTATCCTGCTTGGGAGCCCTGAAGATGGCTGGCGCTGGAGCGTCAGGCTGATGCCCTACCATCACTGGCGGTTGGTAAGAGTAGAAGGGGAGCAGTAAAGATGCCTCTGCATCCCTGCAGAACCCCACACACTCTGGGCCGCAACAAGTAGGAGGGCTACTGAGATGGGCCTTAAAGCCTGGAGTGTGGGCTCAGGTGGAGTTGCTACAGGTGAGGGATTCACCTAACTCAGCAGATACTGCAGGCAGGCCTGATGGCAGCTGGATGGCTTGGCTCCCTGGCCCTACGGGGCACATTAAGGTTCAACCATGAAATTCCAGCAAAGGTAGTCAGTTACCATTCTTGTTGTGTTTATGCAAACATCAGGAATCTTGATTTGGCTTTTTGATAGTCATGGAGGAATTTTAAGAAGAAAAATCCTGTTTCAATAGAAGTTGTTCTTTCCCTTCCACCGGGCCATTTGTTAAGCTTATAGGGATAGTTCAGTTGATAGTTCTGTGTGCCCAGTATGGGCCTCTAGCAATGGTGGAATAGAAATGCAGTCCGTCTCATGATTGAGCCGGAAGTTCCAAGACAAGGGGGGGAATGAAAGGGCGAGGAGTACGCCCTCCACCTTGCCCCAGGGTAAGGGCTATGCCCTTCATCTTAACTTGGCCATGTGCTCAGCAAGCTTCTTCCCGGAAGATAGTCAAGGGAAGTGCACGCCATCACTATGACCACATCCTGTGTACTCGCGCCTGGCCAATCAGCAGGGCCCACAGTCCTTTCTCCTCCCCTTACCCCAAACCCCTATAAAACCTCTCTCCACACAGAGTTTTCTCTCTCTCGGCCACTGGAGCTTACCGTTGCATCGGTGAGTGTGGCAGGGGAGCCAAACCTAGGTTTGAAATGAATGACTCTTTGCTTTTGCAAAAAAAAAAAAAAAAAATCCAAACCACTCTACTGGCAAAAAAAAAAGGGGGGGGGGTGGGGGGGGTGGGGGTAGGGGTAACTACTGAGAGGAAGTTCCCTGGTTCTGGCCACTTTTTCTTAGAGTTAATTTTGGGCCAATATTGATTTCCATTCTTTGCTGTCAAACTTAAATCAGGCTCAATGGGAAATGCCGTGTATATCTGCTTATGAATTTCCATCAACTGGAAGATGGAATGGAAAATATTTGCTAACGATCCATAATGAGAGGATAAGCACTAACCATACAACAGAAAACAGAATTCCTTTTACTCTTACTTCAGTCTTAGATACAAGTATCTTCCTATCTTTTTTTTTTAATTTAGGTACAGTCGCATACAATAAAATTTCACTAAGTGTTTTTCAATGATTTGGAAGATATATATATTTGCAAATGTATACAATTGTGTAAGCTCTCCCATCCCCCCCAATAATTAAGATAGAGAATACTTGCATCACCCCAAAAAGTTCTCTGGGGCTCCTCTGCAGTCAATCCTCTACCCCTAGTCCTAAGCAACCCCTGCCCAGGGTTTGCCTTTCTGTAATACCGTATAAATGGAATTACAGTATTGAGACTTTTGTGACTTTCAGCATGCTGCTCTTGCGATTCATCCATGTTGTGTGTATCAGTAGTACCTTCTTTTTGTTGTTGTTAATCCTTACCCAAGGATATTTCCCCCCCATTGATTTTTAGAGTGGAAGGGAGGGGGGGAGAGTCAGACACATTGATATGAGAGAAAGGCACCAATTGCTTGCCTCCTGCACATGCCCCAACCAGGGTCAGGGCCAGGGCCAGGGATTGGGCTTGCAACCATGGTACATGCCTTTGACTGGAATCGAATCCAGTACCCTTCCATCCCAGGGCTGACGCTCTATCCACTGAACCAAACTGGCTAGGGCAGTAGTGTTTTCTTTTTATTGCTGAATAATATTGCATTATATGGAAACACTATATCCAGTTGATGAACTTTTGAGTTATTTCTAGTTTGGGGCCATTAATGTAAACTGATATAAACATTTATGTATGAGGGTTTTTTTTGAGGGGGCAAATTTTCATTTTTTTTTTTTGGTAGACAACTAAGAGTGAAATTGCTGGTTTATATTTTAAGTGTATGTTTAACTTTATTTAAAAACTTTGTCTACAACGCCCAACCAAGCCACACTGACAACCTATTTCCTAAGTGGCTTTGTCATTTTGCATTCCTACTAGCATTACATTACAGTTCCATATGCTCCACATACTTGTCGGCACTTGGTACGGCCAACTTTTTAAGTCATTCTAATAGGTGTGTATTAACAACTAATGATACTGAGCACCTTTTCATGTGTTTATCTGCCACCTGTATTTATTCTCTGGTGAAGTCTGTTAAAATATTTTGTCCTTTAAAAAGACTTTAGATTCACAAAAAAATTGGGCAGGAAGTACAGAGTTCCCACACATACACAGTCTTCTCCACTATCAACATAATAAAGTGGTATGTTTGTTTCATCTGACAAGCCTACAATGATACATCACTATCACTCAAAGTTCAGAGTTTACATTAGAGTTCAGTCTTTGTGTTGTACATTCTATAGGTTTTGACAAATATAAGATGTGTGTATACCCACCATTATAGTATCATACAGAATAGTTTCACTTTTTACTGGGTTCCTCGATTTCTTATTTGAGTTTTCAGAGTTCTTTGTATATTCCGGATACAAGTCCCTAGTTATGTGTTTTACAAGTATCTTCTTAGTCTATGACTGCTCTGTAATTTTCTTTCAATGTTTTTTAAACAAGAGATGTTTTTAGTCCTGGGCGGGAGGCTCAGTTGGTTAGAGAGGCATCCTGATGCTCCAAGGTTGTGCCCAATCAGGGCACATATCTAGATTGTATATAAAGGCGCTCATTTCCCTATACTGTCAACAATACAAGAATCTCGATAACTTAAATTCCAATTTCCTTTAACTACCTGTGAGGTTGAATACCTTTTCTTGTTTATTGATCACTTGCATTTCCTCTCCTTGGAGCTGGCTATTTACTAGGTGTACCGGTTAACAATGCAGATTTTTTCAATAGATAGAGTTATACATATGTTGTTATACTAGTATATGCGATTTGATACGTATGCTATTTTGTTGTATTACTCCTTCAGATTACCACTTGTTCGGACCGATGGCACACGCACTTTCTGAGCAGCACTTCAAAACGTACGAAGAAGTGGAAAATTGGGTCTCTGAATGGTCTGCCTCAAAACAAGAAAAGTTCTATTGGGACGGTATCCACAAATTACCTGAAAGATGGGGGAAAGGTGTAGCTAGCGATGGACATTACTTTGAATAAAGCACTTTTGATGTTTCTCTTGAAATTATCGTGTTTTCTTTGATTACAAAATCCACATTATTACGGTTAGTAATGCAGATTAACTACTAACCATTTAATAGTGCGGATTAACTATTAACCAGTTAAAAATGCAGATTAATTATTAACTGGTTAAAAATGCAGATTATTAACCAGTTAATGGTGTGGATTAAAAAAAAAGAAAGAAAAAAATAGTGTGGATTAACTATTAACTGGTTAATAATGCAGATTTTGTAGAAAACACGATACTTTATTCAAAGTAATGTCCATCGCTAGCTACATCTTTGCCCCATCTTTCAGGTAATTTGTGGATACCGTCCCAATAGAACTTTTCTTGTTTTGAGGCAGACCATTCAGAGACCCAATTTTCCACTTCTTCGTACGTTTTGAAGTGCTGCTCAGAAAGTGTGTGTACCATTGATCGGAACAAGTGAGAATCTGAAGGAGTAATACAACAAAATAGCATACGTATCAAATCCAATATATATCAACGTATGTGTAACAACATCTATTGAAAAAATCCGTATTAACTGGTACACCTTTATACTTTGTCCATTTCTTTTTTTTTTTTTTTTAATCACATTAAATAAATTAGCTCCTACTGTCTGCCATGTTTTGGAAATGCTTCCCCCGGCCTATCATGTCGTTTGACAAGGTATCTTTTCATATAGAAATGTTTTATTTATGTACTATAATCTGTCAATCCTTTCCTTAGTTGACTCTTGATTTAATGAGTGACTTACAGA